CTAGAGATGTCAACTTAAATTATAAAACCAATTTCAGAATTCTAACTACACGGCAACTGGGCTAAGCTAATACAATATCATTTAGCCCAATATATTAGTGTTTATTTCGTTTGTATTTTTACGAGAAATATCACTCAAATTATTCATTATATCCTTTATATCAGTCCTCATTTTTAACTCGATGTCTAATTCTTTATCAGTTCTCTTATAATGTAATGCTTTAATAAATTCAGGAATATTTACACCATAATTATCGGACATATATGAGTTGCAATTCGTGATTATACGACATTTACGATAATAATCGTAAAATAGCGTGAATTTATTTTCAATAGGGTTATTAAATTATAACTCATTTTTCTCGACAATCGGTTCAATCAATAAATGTTTTAATTGGCGTAAAATTACTTCACATTCGGGTCTTAGTCTCCAATCAGTCAATCCATTCTTTGACCACTTATTAGCACTCATTTCAACCAATAATTGATTTATATTTTGTAATTTATTCTTTAGATTAATGTTATTATTATTTTGTAAATTCAAATTCAACCTAAAATTATAATTATGATTATATTAATAGTTAATTAATAGTAACTTTATATAAAAGTTGTTCATTGCTATAATATCCGAATAACATACCTTTCTTTTTCAACATTATTTGTATTTAATTCAAAAATTTGTGCCCCAATGAGTGCCAGACTATAGACATCTATTAAATGGTTGTATTCAGTGGTCTGTCCTTCGGGTGCCATATAATCAACATTTCCGACATCTTTGGTGTGTTTAACACTACTTTGTTTGTATCCATCACTCAACACATCTACAGATTTAGACAAACCGAAGTCACATAACTGTATATATCTCTTATACCTATTATTGTTATCAATCAACACATTATCGGGTTTGAGGTCTCTGTGAATGATATGATTTCTATGTAAATACTCCACACTTTCGACTAATTGTTTGAATAATTCATATGATATATAATATTCAAATTCATTCATTATTTTTCCAAATATTTGGCTTTTATTTTTTAAAAGTTGTGTTAAATTTCCGGCCAAACAATCCATAAGAATGTAGAGACAGTTATTCTCAATCCACGAATAATAGTACTGAATGACATAATGTGAGCGCAATTCTAACAATTTTGTCGCTTCAGTCAAAACATTTTGTTTGTATTTTTTAGTCAAACCTTAAAATTACATAAAGATAAATATAATAAAAATATAAATATATAAAATATTAATAAAAATGTTTACCATTTAATGAACATATTTTAATCGCGTATTCCTTTCCAATGTGTTTATGCCTTACTTTATATACTTTACCAAATCCACCCGATCCTAACATTTCCAATGTATAATACATTTCTATGTTATTTATGTCACAATTGGTTTCTGTAATAATTTATAACTTATTAATTATTTAATTAATTAAATTGTTTATTATGCTTGACTCACCAAAATGTTGTGTTGTATTAAATGTTTGATCACAACGTATTGTTTTATAAGTTACTTCACGGTCATTAATAAAATATTCATCAAATGTAATAAATTTTGTCTCTTTAAATACTTTCATACTTTCATTGTATTCATACACTCTTTCACCACTAATTCCAACAATAGTTTGAGGATAACTTAATTGAGCAAGATCAGTAAACAACAGATTGGTAATCTTAACAATCTTTTCACTTTCCAAATCATAATAATAAACTTTGTTATCATTTGATAACATAATTATATCTATGGTTACTTTACATGCAATTCTTATATTATTGACGTTTATTAATAATTGTGGTGTAATTATTGTCTCCTTCTGTCTATTATTACTCCACATAAATACCTCTCCATTGGATGTAATGCTAAATGAATTGTCTTTACAACACATAATGTCCACAATTTTATATTCATCGGGAAATTGTATTTCAAATGGTTTTTGTGTATCCAATGAATGATATATCCATTGAAATACCCGTCCATCGGATATCAGAGCATTTGTTGCTTTGCGAAAACATGATATTTTCTCAATACGTATATCATTTGAAGTATGTAATAATATTTTGTTCGGTTTATCATTCAAGCTTTCATAACTAGTTATATTCTTACCCCAGACGTATATCCGATGATCACTATTTAAAGCCAATATATAATCTTGTTCAAAGAAAAACTTGTGTATATTTTGATGCCTTAATTGTGGCACTTCTTCGGGTGTATGTATGGGTCGGTTGTGTCCCAAACCCAACACTCCCTCACTATTACTGCCCAACCCATAGACCCGATCATCAGTTGTCACAAACAATATGTTTTGTTCAGCATTTAGGTCTCTGAAAACATGAAATAATTTGATATTTTGTCTCAAATTTATAGGTATTTTGGCACAAATTCTAAACTTATTCAAAATCTCAACCATATTTAGCATAAGTAATCACACCATCAAAACAATGTTAAGATCACAACAAAAATATTATTTTATTAAACACATTAATGATTTAAATTTATGTAAACTTTTATTATAGCCATTCTATGCATACATTCTTATTAATTAATTAGAAATGTTTAATACAATAATTATTAAATAATAATTGTATAAATTAATAATACAAATACTTATTAAGTTTAATTAATTTTAGAAACGCACTAATATCGTTTACAACGTAATCTTTACGTTAAATTACTTATAAATAACATAAAATATTATTATTTATGTTAAACTATTTTGTATGTTCTCAAGCATAACGATTATATAACACACGTAGACTTATTATATGTTTAACGTATTATATCACTATATAATATTAATGGTTGATTAATTTAGTGAACTTGTGATACAAACTATTCGCCATCTAATGGTTTACATTGGTACAATCAATTTATTTTAACTGCGTTGAATAAAACACTAAATTTATTAATTGTAAAATAACTATAACAACAAAATATTACTCATTTTTTCTCTTATCCATGGATTACGTGACAAACGCCAGACATAAACACATTATTTCAAATGTTTTAACACAGGTTTACAAAAATAACTTATTTAATAACCAGTCGTTAATTACAAAAGTGTTAATTTATAGTTTGCGCAAATATTTTAAATAAATGCTATAAATATTATATTATACAGAATAGATAACACATGTACAGTACAATCATATATACTGTACATTATTTAATAATAGAAACTGTCGACAGATAGCAAAAAGTTGGTATTTATTTTGGTTTGGTTTACGAGATCTCGCAGTACTTGCAATGAATTGATACGACTATTGCGCAAATCGGGTCAGAGAGAAGTCGCCGAATGACTCAAACAGTTTAATACATCCAAAGGACATAACACTGAGTTCAGGGTTTGTCCCGAAATTCCGTTAGTATTAATGCATTTACAGTATTGCCATACCCTTTGGTTTCCCTTGTTTTACACACAATGATTATAGACACGAAAGCAGTGCAAAAACGGTGCATTAGTCACAGAAAAAAAAACTTAACTTTATATAAAAGTAATGTTTGATTCATTACTTTCAACACAATTTTAATATTTCTAATAATTATATATTATTTTTTCTGTGATCAATGCACCGTTTTTGCACTGCTTTAGTGTC